AAGGAGTTACCAAACACTTTCATAGCCTGGACTGTCTTCCGTCTGCTCTAATTGGCTCCAGCTGGTAACACTTCTAGCTGAGGATAGCAGGAGCACAGCATCTTGTTGCCATTCTTCTTCCCCATCTTGTCCCCAACCTTCTTGTGCTCGGGCCTGTGCGGGCTTTCTCATATGCTGTCAGAATCCTTTGCATTGCTGTACTGATGCAAAGGGACCGGAATGCGACAAATTATCTGCTTCAGAGTCCTCAGCAGGTGAAACAGTGCTGTGAACAAAGCTGGGTGCCAAAATTCTAAACTACCAAGTGATCTGAGTCAAAGGGCAATGTAGGAGCAGTCCATTAACTCTACATTCAGAAAACACTTTCAAGAACTTTAATTGTCTTTTATGAAATAAAATGCCCTTAATGAGTTTTAAGGACATGTGTCATTGTGATTGCCCTGAACATTTAATGTCTTCATATAGCATCTGGAGGGTTGATCATCGCTGTGGATTTAATGAACTCAGTAACATATTTAACTGTAGCTTTAGATACATTCAAACTCCAAAGGGTGTAGTGGGCATTCTTCTTTGAATGGCTTCTGCACATTCTTACTTATGGGATGTGCCAACAATGTAGCTCTGACAGTGGATATTTCTTATAGCAAAGACTGCCTGAGCACTCTCGTGAACCTCTTGCCCTTCCCCTACTGTTCCTGACATTGAGGGTGAGGCTGTAAAAGGGGGCGTGGTTCTCCAGCCACCTCAGTTTCTTCCAACATCACTTGCAGATGGACCAGGAACTTCATCGGGTCAGTCTGATATGGAATCATCGACTTTTAAGTCTCAGTGCCTTAGCTAGGTCTCAGTTAGTATAAGATTTAGCTTTTAAATTTAATTTCTTTTTAGTCTATTCCAGTGCTCCAACAGAGGTGTGCACAGCTGATGGCAGATCCAAAAGGGAAAAAGCCAGGATTTACAAGGTGTGCCTCTGGCCCTATTTACAGCTTCAGACACCCATGTTTGGTGTCTGGCTTGTTTGGGGGAAGGTCATGCTTCATCTTGCTGTGCCATTTGCACCACTTTCACCCCAAGATTTCACAAGGAAACAGTTTCAAGTCTGTAGGATTCGTGAGTACTGAGAGGCCTACTTCATCCCCAACTCCTTTGGGGACTTAAAAGCAGCATAAGATCCTGTCCAAGGCATTCTGCTACCGGAGTGAAATCTAAAATCATGGTACCAAAGAATCCACAGTCATCAGATTTGATGGCACAACAAAGCGGGCCCCTACTGGTGTCAGCCTCTGTTAGCAGAACCAGACCTCAGGAATGCAGTCCTTCGGATCTGTCATCTCCAGCCCCTAGCAAGGAGGTGACAGGCCCTGCAGGTATCTGTGTCTGTCTGTTAGCAGAGTCTGTCTGCACACTGGAACCCCTTGTATCTCATGGCCTCTGTTCCAAGACCACCTTCGGAACTCAGGCCAAAACCAAAGGCTCATGGTGATTATCAATACCAAACAAAGCATCATACCCCAGTTCCAAAAAATATTACTGGAGACACATCAAACTTCTTGGCACCATCCGCTTCCACTATTACAATAGTGGTCCAAGTACATAAACCAGACCTGCAGTCAGAACCATACTCTTGGGGGGAATTAAAAGAAGAATTGAAGACTCTGATATCCTTACTCCCTTGTCTTCACTTGGAAAGAAAGGAAACACCCCTGCTCAGTTACAGATTTCCCCTCAGATTTGGCTTCCTCCCCACACACACCTACCCCAGGGAACTGTCCCTCACCATTTTCTATATTGTACTTACCAAGGCCAGTACTGTCTCTAGTTTGAGCTACGTCAGATCCACATTTCGATCCACAATCTGATAATGACTAAGGCTAAGATAGACCTGTTAAATTGCCACCTCCTCTCCTTCCTGGGGGTGGATTACATACACTAGAAAACATTATACTGACACCATATGCAGATCGT